AGGTAATGGACTTGGTTTGAAGGTTGTCGGCGGACAGGAGATACCCGGAAGTAATATGATTGGAGCATACATTCAAAAAATACATCCAAGCCTTACAATGATGGGAGAGATTAGAGAAGGTATTCATCAATACATCAATGTTTATCTAATACAGTATTATTGACTATAATTTAATTATACTCTATTTACTTTTAGTCCAATTTTGACAATGTTTTTATTTTTGTTATACAGTATAGAGACATTAAGTTGTTTATGTAATTCAATCGATTTAGGAATTTAATCTCATTTTTTTTATTACAAAAGTTTGTCTTAAAAACTTTTATTTTTGATTTATTGTTTTCATGTTTCAAATACATTACGTGACAATTGGTGTGGTTTTTTCATTTCCGAGACGTGATTAGATATATTCTCCTGGGAGTTCAGAATTTCCAGAATATATTTAATGACATTTTATATTCAAGTGTGACTTACTTCTCAAAATATATTTTATTATAAATCACCAAGACCATGCACTGACTTGAATAAATAACATATGAAACGATGAAACTTAATTCTTGAAATGTCATGAATGGGAGTGTAGGAAACAGAGACCAAGTGTCCCCTCTCAACCCAATAGTACTGCACAAACTGATCCTATAGACTGATCCTGATCCTATTAGTTGAAAATACCAGTATCATAGTGACAGGAATACTGCATAAAACCTTATATCATATATAATTATTACTGTATATTAGATATAATGAAAAAAACAATAATTAATGAATACTTATAGGGATGCAAGTGATTGAGTGGAATGGCATCCCATTGACCGGTATATCACACGACGAGGTCTCGCGAATAATCACGACTCAAGTGGGCGATGAGATAGAAGTAGTGATTCGCACCGACATTAATATGATGCCCACCAACCAGTATCAAAGTCAATACCACGAACAGCAACCACCGCCCTATCCTCAGGTGATTCTTCAGCACAACCATCCGATTGATGACACGATGGCTAACCAACAGTATCAACAGCAGCAACAGATGCATCTCCAGCAGCAGCAACACCAACAGCAACAACACCACCAACAGCAGCAACAACAGCACCAGCAATACCTTCAACAACAACAGTATCAACAACAAGTACACCAACAACAGACACATAACGTACAAATTGGTAAGAATTTGATCCAACATTAAGACATTTTTATGTGGTTTACAAGAATATAGCTCTTATATTATATCAGAATTATATGTATATATTAATAATTATGTTATTATCATTATGTAACTTTATTATAGTGTACTGTTATATGAAAAGTTAGTGATTGATAACATAGTTGAAAATAATGCATATTTTGGATCTGTTTTTGATTTCTCACATAAGAATTTTGATGATTATATTTATAATGAATAACAAAATCTCGTTTTCTCCCAACAAATCATTTGCACGTGTATTGGATTGTGTGGATTTGTTTGTATCTATGATTTGACTTTAAAATATGTGCCCTAAAGAGAAAAGTGTTGATTCCTCCCAACAAATTGTTGCACTCAATGTGAAGCAGTCATTCGATGCCACAGTAGGTAATGATGACAACCATAAGGTGAGACCAATTCATCGACACATCTCATTACACAATGTATAAGCTATTCATTGACACCAATATCATTTTATGGTTTAAGATAGAAATGTTACGTCAACTCATTCAGTGATTAAGAATCGATCATCTCGCACATATTGAGATACATTTTACTTATTGAGTGTATTTTGAGAATATGGGATAAATTTGTTAAATTTATATAAATCACAATTTGTTAACTTTAGTTTGTCTTAAAAGTAATTCTTATTTTTGTTTGTTTTTAGCTAATTATTTAACTATTTCTATTCATTTACCATAAATAATTAACTTTTAGGATTTTTAAATTAAAACTATATTTTCATTTACGCAATGTAATATTTATTATTTGATTTCTTGTTAATAATTAATGAATTTGCATGATTTATTTATAACCTATTTAACATTCCTTTTATTCTTATAATGCATTCAATAATCGTTAATAAACAGAGTAGTGTAAATATATTCAAACAAAACTTAAAACTTTTTGTAACACATGTCTTCATTTGATGAGTGACACGAATTATCATAAATCTCAACAGAATTAACAAACTTTTCTCTTATGTGATGACAAATGAAAAACCTTTGATTGAAATTAAATTGAGATAACAATTACCAATAGATTAGAAGAATTCCTGCACTTTACCTAATGATTAGATTATATGAGTAGAGACTGGACTGTCCATAGAATGTCAAGTATAGTAGACTCTCATATAACACATCCATTTCTACCTTAAACCTGATTTAGTATATTTTCAGTCAATTAATGAGTTAATTACTACTGAATTGGGATTTTTATTTGATATACTCGATACTAGAAATGTATTTTAATTAATGAAGTTCAAATGCAAATTAAATATAATAAAGTAAATAATAAATTCTATTATATGATTAGAATCTCAACCAAGTCTTTCAATTTAATTACTGTATTTAATTACATAATATAACTTAGTATACCGTATTACAAATAAATTATTTGTTATAATGTTTATAAAAATATTTATTCTTAGCACATACCGAAATCCCAATTCAATAGCTAATGTATATAATGCCTGGCATATGATATGTTCACATTTGACCCGTACTTTTTGATCTGTCCTGTAGTTTGACATATGTATAGACGACCAAAAATTAGGCAAAATAACCGGTGAAATACAGGTAACAAATATCAAAGAAATGTTATATT